GATTATCCATGAAATTAAGTACTCAGTTTGTACCTCCATGCTGTCCCACTAAACTTACAATGCAATTCATATTAAGCAGTTTATTGAAAGGTACCTTCCCCTCCACCGCAAGAAGTGTTCAGGGCTTGAAAGCTGGCAGTCTGGGACTTGCTAGATTTAGTAACAGACAACAATTCCAAACCCCAGGAACTCAGTCCTAACAGAAAGCTGTAACCCAGGGGGAATGAGGAAGCTTGACTTTCCAATGGTACAACACCCAGCCAGGCCAGCTAGCTTCACTAGTACTGAAATTTGAAGTAACAGAAAACCTGTACACGAGTTTCTGTATACCTGCCTCACTATCTTGCTTTAGGGAGTCACTTTGTAAGTAGGACACTACTATTAAAGACAAAGGGATAATTGTACAGGGATAGCTACCTGGGTATGGCATAGAGTTGTCACTTGTTAAGGATTACATCCCATTCACGGGTGCCTCTACTACTGACAATACAGCTCTGCTGCCAGGAGCCATATGCCATTGTGAATATGTGTAATCAATCTTTGAACTGCCTTGTCACAAGATTATTCCACTCCACTCTGGGGGGGAGGTAAGATTTTATTTTAAAATAAAATGGTTATACAAGACTAGTCAAAATCATTCACTACTACATTTTATGATCCAGGTGGGCATATTGCTGTTCAGACTGATAAAGGAAGCTTCACTCACTGCAGAGTTTATACAAGACAATTATAGCAGGAATAGTCCATGATGTGAAATCAGCACTTTTCAGAACCCCAAAAGTGTCCAGTTTTTAAAGATTTCACCCAGAGCAGCCTCTGCATCCACAGTGCGTGCACTCAATGATTCTCCCCTATAAAGCAAAAACAAGCATTAGTCACCACATTCCAGGTAAGTTACTTTATATCAAGAACAAGTATTCTTAATAAAAAGCTAGTGCAGTATGCTACATCTCAAACAGGGGAAGCCCTCTGAAGCGCCCATAGCTCCAAGTTTCCTGCTACTCTACAAACAGTCTCCCACCCCACTTTTCACAACATTATGCAGAGGCTACACAAGCCCCACCTTCCCTCCGGGGGTGAAGCAAGAATCAGGCATTACTATAAAACCAAATGGAAGTGAATATTCCACCAGGAAAGATTATGGAATCCTATAGAACTAGATTTGGCCAAGAAGTGCATCAGTGAGACTCTGCTGTCTGGAACTATGAATAGAACATTCGAGGGACAGTCATGGGACCAATTAACATCTAGGATTATCAGTTTTCCTTCCTAGTATTACAAATTTTTATCTAAAGCAGTGGGAACTTCTGCACTATAGCTATGTTACAAGCTCAAGTTATTAAGAAGAAAGGGAACACATCAGAAACTAGACAGTTGTATTTCCTTTTGGGTATTTAAGATTCCTTTCACTGTACTTTGCCACAGTCAAATCCCTCTCAAAAATTCCTCAGTCTGACTTTCAGGAGACAAGGACCATTCTTTGTTCTGTGTTTGTGCAGTGCCTAGCACAATCAGGTCCTGGTCTATGACTAGGGCACTTAGATGCCACAGTAATACATGTAATTAGGCTCAAGGCACTATGTATAGGAAGTCAGTGCTCTGGTCTTAAGTGTTGTTCTAGCACCCTAAACACTGCACCAGAATTTTAGTTGGTTAAGTGTGAAGGTAACTGGGACAAGTCTATATTAGCCCCTTAATGTCATTTTCATGGGCAAATGCTTCAGGAAACAGGAAAAACAGAGGATGGCCACTTAATAGCAGAATCCAGTGGTAAAGAAAACTAGAAATTGATACTATTGTCAAAGGTAGCAGAGGAAATACAATTATGGTAAGTCATGACTGCTGGCTCAAAATCCAAGCAAGGAAAATAGCATCAGAGCAAATAAAAAATTCATACCACTTCCAGCTTGCTTTTTGGGACCCTGCAAATGCAGTTAGTTCCAAAGTTGGTATCCCGAGTCTGGATACAGCGCAGGCAGCAAAGGTTCTCATAACCCTGTTTCTTCCACTTTGCAATCAGGTTTTTGTCAGCGTATCCTTCTCTGATACAGTACTCATACAGTTCTGCACGAGAGAGGTGACTGGTGAGCACCACAGAATTCTCATTGGGGCAGATAAATGAACAGTTTATTTAAAAAGTTTTAGTCTTTCCACTGAATCTAGTTCTCATTGCTAGTTCCACTTCCTGGCAAATACAGACAGAGGGAAAGTCTACTTTTTTTTTTTTAAGAACAATTATTTAATCCTTTCCCATCAATAATCTAATTCTGGTTTACACTCACTGGCTAATGATTCAGACACTCCGTATGGAAGCTGTGATCTCTTCACCACAAGAGCAAATATTTAAGCTTTTTACCTCTGCTAATAGCTTTTCTCTTATAGAAGAGATCAAAGATGTAGCGCGTTTTCTGATGATGAATTCTGAAGATGGGCCAGAGGGATTCCACCTTCCTCTTCCCTTCATGAGGCTCAGTCTCCGCTGAGGGAAGAGGACACAGAAATCAGATTTAACTTGCAGTGGCCTATAAGTTATTACAGCACTATATATCCTAAAAAAGCACAATTGTTCTGAGGAAAAAAAATGTAGTTTTAAAGGGGTGTGGGGAGATAGTCAAAAACAAAATTCACTGCAGTAAAAATACACACAGGAGGTCTTTAACTCTCTTGCACTCCCTTTGGAAAGGAAGTCAGCGCGCTAAAGGGATGATGGTAAGGAAAATGCAGGTATAATGATTGGATAGGACAGGCACATCTGAGTACCAAGAGTGACAGCACAGACTAGAACCAAACACTGCTGGCCTTTGCAATGCAAGCTTCCCCCTGCACATAATTATACCAGCGTGCTTCAATCCTGGCCTACAGTAGTCCTTAGAGCTTGGGTGGAGTACTATGGACTCAGAACAATATTCATTTCATTTGCAAATTAAGCCATAGATCCAGAGATGATCCACGTAACTCATTCTGCCATGTCCCAATTCCATGTGTCCTAAATTAGAATTAGGAATTTGTCTTCTAGGGGTAACTTTTGATGCAAGAAATTAACACACTAAGTTATCATCATCAAAATGTTTCATCTTCATTATTAGCCCCTAATGAAAACAGATTTAAAAATCCACACTTGCTGTCCTTTTATAAAACATGTATCCTGAAGCTCTTAAGGACTGTACAATCATAGGGTCACATGCTAACCAGTATCTGGCTTCATAACTTACCTTCTCTCATTTTTTGATCCAGCTCATCCAATGTTGGTTCAATCAGTTCCCAGCCATCCGGAGGAGCTTTCCTGCTTCTCTTTACTTTGGGCATCTTCTCAAAAAAGGCTGTTATAGGGATAAATGCAGGTCAAGTTTCAATAGCACTTATGTTTCCAGATATCATAAGGTCATCATGCACCCCCACCCCTCCAAAAAAAAGCATAAGGAAGCCCTTGAGATTTTTCAGCATTATTTTGACTCCCTTTTTCAATGATAAAGATAGAGGTGGGTTTTTTATTTAGAGATAAATTAAACTAAGGAACAAACAAATGACATGGTCTGACAAAAAGAACAGGAGTACTTGTGGCACCTTAGAGACTAACAAATTTGTTAGTCTCTAA